GGATCGCAGCCCAACGTGTAACCACTGTGCCACCAGGGCTCCTTGTACTCATGTAAGGGTATATAATAGTTCTTCTTTTCTCCTCGGTAGAAAATATATATATAAAAGACTAAATGGTAACTTTTACCTGGGAGGCAGGAGGTGAATCATTTTCATATTTAGTACCAAATGCCCAAGTTCACAGCCTCCAAATTCCTGAAAACCCGCAGGGGCTGCATCTGGGGGGACAGGTGGCTCGAAGCGGGACCCTGCCCAGGGCAGGGGTGGCTTGGTGGTGGCATTCACACCTCCCCTGGAGGCAATCCAGGTGTGATCTCCAGACAGCGACCCTCCTATACAGACACGACCCGTCTGTCAGTGCAGTGTGCGTGCTGCTATGAGATTGAACTGGCCTCCGTGGAGGTTCTAGACTCAGATGAAGGTGGAAGAAAGGGGTAGCTATCTCCTGCCTGGTGGGTGACCTCCTTTCAGCCAGTGGAAGCCCTGGGGGTCACAGCAGCCCGGTCTGTTCATGGGAGTCGCGAAGGGCCAGGCAGTATTTCCATGGTAACCTAAGTTTGTTGCTAACAAGAGGGACCTCAGTGAAGAGTGGACTGGTCTCCCAGAGGCAGGCTCCGGGCACCAAGGATGCACAGAAGCGTAGACTTCTACCGCAGCAAGAGTGCTTCGGAGTTTCCCAGCGTCAGCCCCCACGAAGCCCGGGAGACCGAGGTGCCCCTGCCTGTGAGGGCTGCGCCGGGCAAAGCCCTCGGGGCCCAGTGCTGACAGGGCTCACACGGGCTGGGCAGCTGACTGTGCTCACCGTCCCCCACTCTGCTGACTTTGTCAGTGGTTTGGGCAAGGGCTGAAGGCACGTGTCCAGTAGCCCTGTCCCTGGGGGAGGCAGGGCCTGGAGGCACCATCTCACACCGCTGTTGCTGGGAGGTGCTGTCCACTCAGTTCCGACTCAGAGGGACGCTGTGGACAGCAGAACAGAGCACGGCCGGGTCCTGTGCCGTCCTCACCATCTTTGCTGTTTGAGGTCACGGTTGCAGTCACTATGCCAGTCCATCCCATGGAAGGCCTTCCTTTGCTTTACCAAGTGTGATGTCCGTCTCCCGGGACCGGTCCCTCCTGATAGCATGCCCAGAGTACAGGAAACACTAGGAATTCACCCATTGCTACCCCTAGCCCCCCAACTGAGAGGAGCCCCTGGAGGGCAAGGGCTCTGTTCTGTCCTCCCAGGGCCCGCCCCGGCATACCCAAGGGCCTGAGTAGCCCAAGGGCCACCACAGGGCCAGACACACAGTGGGGGCTCCATCAGTATTTGCTGAGCGATTGGATGAGTGCGCTGTACACAGAGCCCAGCCGATGGCTGCGTGTGTGTGTGTGTGTGTGTGTGTGTGTGTGTGTGTGTGTGTGAGTGATGGGTCTGGGCCAGCTCCCTCAGGGATGCTCAGCACCAGTATGGGCTGAAATGAGGCTCAGAAGGGCCTCGAGGTGTGGTCAGGGTGAAGGGAGGCCAGAAGCAGGGACCACCCAGGGCGAGCAGACAAGCACCTGTGGTGGCCTTGGCATGGGGGTGCTATGCCCCAGGGGAACTCACAATTGCTGTCCCAGGGTCCCCAGCTCATTACCCCAAAGGGCAGTACTGGGGCAGGGCCTTCCCAATGGCTAGCCCAATCCTTTGGGGACATGGGATCAGAGCCTAGCCTGAAGCAAAGACCTTTCACACCCACAGGCCCCCTCAGAGTTCACGTCAACACCGCCCCTCCCACCCTGCCAATCTGAGGGCCATCAACCCTGCCCATCCTCCTGTGCCGCTTACACATGGCCGGTCTCATGGGCCACCACGAAGGCAGAGGAGAAGCCATCTTCATGGTTGAGGGCGCAGCTCCTCAGGGGGTGGCACATGCCGGTAATGGGCGCATACCCTGCTGGGAGAGAAGGAGAATGGGCAGCAAGAGGTCACCGGCAGGTGAGGGGGGACACTTGCCATGAGAGGGACAACTGAGCCTGGTCACTGCCAGATGGTCCCTGAAGGGGGAAGGACCTTTGCAAAATTCTTCCTGGCCATAGAGCAAACTTGGGACACACTGCCCCGACATCCTAAGCTTACGGGCTCCCTTGTGTTCACCAGCTGCCCAGAGTCTCCAGGCCCCTGCTCCCAGTGAGGCGGTGAGATTCCAGGCAGGGCTTGGGTCTGCATTTCCCACGGCACCTCCAACCAGCCAGTGCCTGAGGCAGGCAGGCACTCAACAAGCAAGCTCTTAGAGGACGGCAGAATCCGCTCGGAGACAAGCACCAGTCCACCCTCCTTGCAGACTTAGGGAGTGAGGCTCAGAGGGCATGGGGTGTGCACTAGGACTCATATTCCAGGTGCAGGACACATGGAGGCAGGAAGGATTTCTGCTAGAGCAGTGGAGGGTGGACTCGAGAGGGATTTACTGGGGTCTGGAGCTGGGCTTTAAGGGCAGGGGAGGTCTGCCCGAGGGGGAGAGGGGACATGTTGGTGGAGATTGTGTGAGTCACGTGCAGAGATGGTGGTGAGAAGGGCCTTTGGGGAACCCATGGGGCTGGGCTGTGGTCCCTGCCTGCCTTGACTAAATAGATACGATCTGCTTTCCAGACTGATCTATGGCTCAGGGGGCTAGGAGGTGGGGGTGGGGGTGCAGGGAAGGTCTTGCAGACCCCCTCCGAGGTGACAGCAGAGAGGAGAGTGCCCCCTGCTTCGGCCTCAGCCCAAGCCTGCAGCCACCCAGGCAATGACCCCATGTCTCCCAGTGGCTGAGCAGATCTTCTGGTGC